ATGATATCCACCTTAAGCATGCTAAAGTACTGCACAGCTTACTTAAGTCCATAAAAACCTTTACTCCTGAACGTCAAACTTTTTACTGTCCATTCACTCATATTCATATCACAATTTTGTAACGCTGATGCTCACCGTGTAATGTGTGGATGGACTGAGACCTTCAATCGTCAAATTCCTTTGAGAACCTTCGAATTCTTGTACCGTGATGTCAGTGGGGAATGCGTCATTCCAATATCGAACCTAAAACACGCAAAACAGTTTTAAGTTTGTACATGAGGACAACTAAACAGTACCAGAAAGAAAAATTGCACGGTGCTCTTCAGAAAGCTTGAAAATTTTGTGAGAGAAAAATGAAAAGTCGTGCGAACTCACCACAAATCTTGTAATGACGCCATTCGGATGTTCCGGCAGGTCCCACACAACAACTGCCCCATTGAACATCACCTCAAAAACAGAAGTTTACTGATGTAATATGGTAAATAACTGGCTGTGAAAATGCAAAGTTCTACTGACTCAATAGCAAGATTTGTAAAAGGCGAGGTATCATAAACCGCAAAACTCCAGATTAACACAGGTTCTTTTAGATTCAACCCCAACCTTCCCTATGCCCCTGACTTCTTCGTTCACTGGTACTATGCAATTTATCTCTAACACTGGCATAGCACAAAAATGCGTTAGATCAATGACAGGAATAAGTTGGACAGAATACCTTAACGCGGGTTCTATCTAGGAATGATCGCACAAAGTTAGCTCGAGTAATAAATGCAAGCAGTTGGAAGCATGTATCCCTTGAAAGAAAATTATTCGATTGCTGTAGCTGATTTGATAGCAGTTTTTATGCGAAAACTTGTTCTTAAACGTTTCATACATTTTTCTGAGCCCGCTTCACAATCTATGTGATTACTTTATTGCTTTTTTTTCAGCATTTGCCTAAGTGCAATAAATGGAAATTTGAACTATATTTGTGATCTCTATCATAGATAAAAGAGAACGGCTGCCAAAATATGCCTTTGGCCCTTCAATCAATTAACTAATGCACTGTACACTGGCCAAAAAGTTTTGCAGCGACAAGCCTAAGCCCTGAAGATGAGGATATCTTTGACGGTATTGGCATGGCAGCAAACAGCGCGCCAAATGATTAAGACCGGCGTTGCGATTGTAAGAGTATGGTAGACGAGGCGGATTTGTAAGTCAATCCCTCCATGGTCATTTACGCGACTGCACAATTGACCCTTTAGAAATTGTGCGACGAGCCAAACTCTGTCTTCTCCACTAATTCGCTAGGTGAAGCAATCATTATTATTACAGCACAGCTAGCAACTTGCAAGAGAAAT